TGTTGCTGCATCTGGTCCGGCTAGAAGTAAATCATCGACATATTGTATCAGAGTCACTCCCTCTGGTAGTTGTAATGCACTGAGGTCCTGTTTTAAAGCACGGTTAAATAAACCTGGACTGTCTTTGTAACCCTGTGGCATCCGATTGTAGGTGTATCTCTGTCTTTGGTAGGTAAATGCAAATATGTCCTGGACATTTGGATCTAATGGCAAGCAAAAAAATGCATTAGCTAGATCTATCACTGTGAAATATTTGTGACCTGGATTAAGATTCTGCAACGCTACATGTGGATCGGGGACAGGAATATTAGCGGTTTTAGTGACATTGTTTATTTCTCTTAGATCATGGACCATTCTCCGTCCCTTCGTGGTTGCCAACTTTTAGAAGTATTCGATGTTCTCGCGTCCAGGAGAGGAGCTTAGAATGAAGAGACTAATGGAGTCTCCGAAAAGGTTCAAATTGGTGAGTTTAATTAAATGGCACGATGATACAACAAGCAGAGGGTAAGGAAAAGACAAAGCCGGTGTTGTCTTCAGAGTGGCTGCAGCGAAGAAGGGCGGAGCGGTCCTCTGTCTGCTGTTTTTATCCATGTCTCGTTGTCTCCCGCTGTGCAATAGTGGGCCCTCCCTACTCATTTGCCGGTTCGATATCGCGAGAGCACAGATGATTTCGACATTGATATTCTCTGCCTACTTCCTTAAGCATTTTCTCCTCATTATCTCTGTCATGACTTTCTATTTAATACCTTATAAACAGCTGTAATCGTTAGTTTAGAAGTCCTAGAAACACTTTTACGACATGCTACGTACTGACCGGATATGAAGGATTTTCAGAATAAAAGCTTGGCATTGAGACTGAGAACTTCCGGGTTTTTTCACAATAAAACAGCTTTTAAAACTGACGATATATTTTAGACCAATTATGCTTTTAACATTGATTTTAATTTCTAACAATAGGACACAGCTGGCTTGCGGTCGAGGTGATAGCCAGCGTCGTAGGACAGTTTAGCGAGAGCGGTTTTTTTTTTTGGATTTAGTCAGCCGGATAACTCAAAACATATCCAGGATATGTTGAACTAGATTCGTAGTATACCCCCCAGGTTAGGTGGCAGGCTAAGAGATCAACTCAGTGAAAGCACTGCCTGCTGACCAATCAGAGCTCCGTGTGCGGAGTTTAAAGCGATCAATTCATATGACAGGAGGAGAAAGGAAATACAGTTTAAACTGCCGTTGCAGGAAAGACGACCAGCCAAAATCAACTGACTGTGTGAACGTGAAAATTAATAGAATATCCCCTCCCATCTTCAGAGCAATCTGACTATTATAACATTAGCGTTAAGAAAGCTTACTTAAATATCTGCCACGACATAAGTAACCGGATCAGAGTAACATTAAGTACAGTCCGCGGCACTGTGAGTGCAGACGTAGATGTGTCCCATTATCATTCATATCATATCACATCATAATGTATCATATATTTCCTTATTTGAGTCAGCTTCTTGAGCCGTATCTGGCCGTGCAACACTCACAGTGTCACATACTGTATGCAGAAGTATTATTTTAAGCAACACATTAAATTGACGAAACACTCGAGTCAAATTCTCCTAATTAAAGTCAGATCCACTCGTGTCTTGGACGGGGCAGTGATTTCATAAACCTGTTAATGTACGCATTCAAACACTTTTTCTTTTACCAGCTGTATTCACCTTGCAGGTGCAGCTATGTGGCTTTTATCCTGGGTAAAGTGTTTAAGTCATGGATGTTTAAAGTTTAACTTCCTCATATTTGACTAATATTAAAGTTCACTTTTCATTCAGGAAGTATGACGCTGCGCTGTCAGTACGCTTCTCCGTGTTTGAGATTGGTCGAATGCTCCAAATACCACCCCTTTCATGTGGTGGCCATCACCCCAGCCACAAACTGTTCTTTCTGTTGCCGTCTGGCAGACGTTACCGCAGCATCCTGGCAAGGACAAGAAGATTCGGAGACAGTTTCTTCCCGCGGGCAGTGAGACTGTTAAAAAATTGAACTGTTGAAACAACTTCAAACATTCAACTGCTACTCAGTAGCATGTATCTAATACCTAATATATATATATCATTCCAATAACTTGTATATAGACTCATACTGCACTATTCCACATCATAACTTTATTTCATTTTTATAACTATTATTATTTTTGTATTGCTCATGCTCTTATTGTTATTATGTTATGTTATTATGTTGCATTGTTGGAGAAGCCTGTGACATAAGATTTTCAACTGCATAATTACTCTGTAGCTATGTCAGATTGACAATAAAGAACCTTGAACCTTGAACCTTGAACGCGCACCTAACTAGATAGGACACGGCGGCTTGAGCGATCCACTTGATATCCAGCGTCGTAGTACAGTTTAGCGCCAGCGCGTATGTTTTGGATTACGCTAACCGGCTAACTCCAACATATCCAGGTTAAATTGAACCAGCTTCGTAGTACAGGCCTCAGGTGTAGCTAAAGTCTTGTTGATCATGTTATCATTATTCCATATCAGCAAAGTAACTAAAGGTAGCCTACGTTAATGTCGTGAAGTAAAAGTTCAATAGTGATTTGTAGTGGAGTAGAAGTACAAAGTATAAAATGGTAATACTCAAGTAAATTACAAGTACCTCAAAATTGTACTTAAGTATAGTAGCCTACTTGAGTAAAAGTTACTTTACACCAAAGGCGAAAAGCTTATTTACAATCTATCTGACTGTGAATCAAAGTCACCATGTTGCCCTCTGGTGGCTGCATCACAAATACATGTAAAGACTTAAATTGCAAAAACAAATCAAACAAAGATATGGAATACAATGCATCTTGTCTGTACTTTATTGTAAGTATGCATTTGCTGTTTCATTATTAGAAGAAAAACACATGTTGAAAGGACAGTTTTTCCGCCTTTTGTCTTAAATGATAGTTACAGTGGTTTTTCATTGTAACATGATCTTCAAGGATTACTATGGGCATAGATTTGTCTCATAATTATTTGTGTGAACATACAAATAATTTGTGTGTAAATATGTGATTTGTAAATGTAAAACACCATCCACAAATGCATTTAAAAGATTTGCAAACTCACAAATAAATTTGCAAATGTAAAACGGATCTGCAAATACGCAAAATATTTTTACAAATAAAAAAAGATCTGTGAATATCTCTTTAACATTGACAACTTTCGATCAGGCATTTGTGAATCCATTTTGTATTTGTCAACCAAAAATGCGCTTGTGGATCTTAAATCTCAAATCTAAATCTGTGCTCATTTATAAACTATTTTGTAGCTTTGCTGTCTGTTTACAGTTAACTTTTGGTAGTATGCTAAAGTGATTCTAATACGAATGGAGCCTAAATGTATTTGTTATTTTTGTGTCTAGCTCTTACGTTGATATTGGAGATTTCAATAAACTCATATCATCAGTCAAGTCTTCGACCATTATTCGGAGGGAAATGCTACAACGATGCTTGGCAATGGGCATTATTATATATTATTATTATAGGCCAGGCTTACCTTAAAGTCATTTTTCCCCCTGGAAAAAGCTGGCCCACCCTATTTTATACAGGCCCGCCTTAAAGTAAATTTCTGCCTACCCTACTGGTCCTTACTCGGGTTAAAATCATGGATGTATAATAAGTAGGGCTGTCAAGTTAACTGTAAAAAAAAAATTAACGCCACTAATTATTTTAACGCGATTAACGCATGTGTATTTTTTGTCCTCGGCCGCCCCGTAGTTTCAGAGCGCATCGAGTTTAAAATACCATCTGCAAGCTGATGCTGACAACCCCGCTCCTGCCGCCCGCTTGTGGCAGACCACACTTCCACGCTCACCGGCAGGCCCGGACTGGCCATCGGGAGGACCGGGAGGGTGTGTATGTGTGGCGCGACTCGAGCGAGGCACACCTTACGTGTTGTTGTTGTTGTTGTTGTTAGCATCTGGTGCTAGCTAGCTGTGCTAACGGATATAAGGAGCGGACATTTCGCCGACAACTGCGCCGAGCACTTCACTTTATGCAGGTAGCCAGACAGTGGGACATTGTACGAAAAGTCAGCACGAATAGTGCGCGCAACATGATTGCAGCGTCCAGGCAGCTCCCGTTCGAGCATATATGCCTTGAGCTGCACATAGCTCCAACGATCCATCACAGTGTCTTCTACACACACGCACACACGCACACACGCACTGTATTGTATTATTGTATGAGAGAGGTTAGGTTGAATTGAGAATATTCATGAGAATATTTGTCATTGTTCAAATGATAATAAACAAACATATAAAGCATATTTGTCCACTCATATGTTGATAAGAGTATTAAAAGCTTGAAAAATATCCCTCTAAGGTACATTTAGAACAGATAAAAAATGTGCGATTAATTTGCGATTAATCGCGATTAACTATGGACAATCATGCGATTAATCGCGATTAAATATTTTAATCGACTGACAGCCCTAATAATAAGATTAAGGTTAAAATAGAGTGGTGCAGTGACTTGTCCTAAAACCCGGAAGTAAGCTGCTTCCGGTTCCCTCGACAAAAAATGATCAATCATAAATCTATCGATCATAAATCTATCAATTAGATTTATGATTCGAAAATTATAAAAGTAGGGTAGACATGTGGAGATTATCCGACTGAACAAAACGTGATCCGTCTCTTAAATGTGTGTCAACCACAGACCTTATTTCGAGCTATTTTCCAAAATCCTATGGAGAAATTGCATTGCTTTTTTGTCGAGGGAACCGGCTTACTTCCGGTTTTTAGGACGCGTCACTGCACAACTCTGCAACACATTTGTGACGTCAAACATCTGCGCCCAATTTGACCACGTGGGGACGTTTTTACAGCGGTAGCAAAACAACCGCAGTGACGCTTGCCTGTCTGTCAATGAGCATGATAAATACTTTTTTGTTTCTTTTAGACATTTCAGAAACATCCTCAAAACGCTGAAAGGATTCCGCTAACAGAGTCACTTTTTCTAGACCATGCCCAACGACCACGACCATCCACCGGCTAAAAAATTCAAGCCGGGATCTGTTTTCTTCCGTTACGATAAGAATAAATCTGGAATGCTGCTGCCTAGAAAGGGAAATGCAACCACCCCGATAGAAGTCCAGAGGAAACAGCTTCCCATCTACCAGGCGAAACCCCAGCTACTGAACCAGCTGAGGCAGCTCCACAATGCTATCCTCATAGGTAAGAACCACACTCAGCTAATGATGCTAATGCGTTAGCCACTGTTGTGCTACTCAATTAAAGGGAAGGTTCACTCTGACAAAAGACTATGTTGTCAGCTCTGTGATGTTGTAGAAATAAGTTTAATTATTACATCTTAACTAATATTGTTTTCTGATTAACAACAGTAAGCCTTATAATTATAACTCTTGTTTTATTTTTGTATTTCCAAACCAATTCACCAAGACCTCTTAGTATAGGTAATGTCATGGATTTTCTTGTAAGCATCATGTGAACACTTTTATTCAGTTCACTGTACGTCGCAACATCATATCATTTTACATCAAATAATAGTTTTCCAAGATGTGAATGATTTGAAGTGTATTCTTAACCTCACCAAATTCTTATTTTATTCTGAATTGGGTGGAAATGTGTCTTGAACAACCATGATATCCTTAAGATAATTTGCATATGTAACTTAATTCATTTTGTTAAATGTTTTACAGTAATTGAAAAAAATACATGAATCTTAAATGAAGAATTAAAAAAAAAAAAAATATCTCCACTATGTCATGAACTGGGAGTTTTTGGTTGGTATATAAAAGAGAGTTGTCTCACATTTAAGTGATACCAGGCTCAGAAAATGTAATTTCTACTCTACACGTTTATAATGTAGCATCTTAACTTTGTCTTTATTGACCCTATCTAACTTCTCTCTTACAGGGGAGACTGGCTCTGGGAAGACCACTCAGATCCCTCAGTATCTGTACGAGGCCGGCATCGGGCGACAGGGCCTCATCGCCATCACTCAGCCACGTCGAGTGGCAGCCATATCTCTGGCAGGAAGGGTGGCCGAGGAGAAGAGGACGCAGCTCGGCAAGCTGGTATGCACAACAGACAGGTTTCCCACATATATGCTTAGTCTGTTCTGGTCTAAATGTTCCCTTTGGTGTGTTCTTGACAAACAACAAACAAACGCTATATTTACATCGAGTGTCACCTTCGACTCTGCGCCTCATTACTTACCCACTTACTTAGGTTGAACTGGCATATGATTTCAGGAAAAAAGGACAATGGAGTTCATGATTTTTAAGAAGACTGGTTGATACAATTCATCAGTTTAAGAACACGTTTTGAAAAGTAGACCATCCAAGGACCTTACTAAAGAACACATTTAAGTAGAGGATGTTTTAAATGCATTACCTTCCCTCCGTTTCTGACTTGATATAGTAGTATGCTAAAGACCTGGAAGACATTATTCAACATCTGAAATCCTCCTCCTGTAGCCTCGATATTATTTCCGACAGGATTTTTCAAAAAGGTTTTTCATTGCTTGGCCTCAGATCTACTTCATATAGTAAACAAGTCTCTCCACTCTGGTGTATTTCCACAGGCCCTGAAAACTGCAGTCATTAAACCGCTCCTAAAAAAGCATAACCTAGACGCAACCGTAATGAATAATTACAGGCCAATATCAAACCTTCCTTTTTTAAGTAAATTGAAAATCCTCACTAACATTAAAAGAGTGGATCACATCAGTCCGGTTCTGAAATCTTTACACTAGCTTCCAGTCGGCCAAAGAATTGATTTAAAAGTATTATTGCTAGTTTTTAAATCACTAAATGGTTTAGGACCAAAGTATATTAACGATCTCTTGCATAATTATGATCCATCAAGGTGTCTCAGGTCTTCTGGGACGGGTCTGCTCTCGGTTCCGATAGTAAGAACAAAACATGGAAAAGCAGCGTTTAGCTATTATGCCCCGACAATCTGGAACAAACTGCCCGAAACATGCACGTCCGCAGAGACTCTTAGTATTTTCAAATCGAGACTGAAAACATATATTTTTGCCGCTGCTTTTAATTGAGCTGATCATATGCGCACTGCAGTATGCATTTTATTCATGTATTGTATAACTGTTGTATTTAATTTATTATCTTTGCTTTTTAAATGCCTGTTGTAAAATGCCATTTATATAATGTGTTTCTGCTGTATTTATTCTTAAACGTCTTATTTTATTTTGTAAAGCACTTAATATTGTCGCGTGCTGAAAGGTGCTATATAAATAAACTTGCCTTGCCTTGCCTAGTATCAGAACGTATTCAGTTGAAGTCTTATCAGACTTATTTACAGGTTGGTTACACAGTGCGCTTTGAGGATGTCACCTCCTCTGAGACTAAGCTGAAGTTCATGACAGACGGCATGCTGCTGCGCGAGGCCATCGGAGACCCCCTGCTGCTGCGCTACACTGTGGTGGTCCTGGACGAGGCTCACGAGCGCACCGTGCACACTGATGTTCTGTTCGGCGTGGTGAAGGCTGCTCAACGCAGGCGCAGGGAACTAAATAAGATTCCCCTGAAGGTAGGAATGCCAGGGGTCCTGGCTTCAAAAATATATTTAACACTGGGCGGCTAATCCCTGCACTGCATTGGGAACATGAGATAAAACGCTTATTGTCACGGTAATTATAGAGCCTCACTAGGGATATTTTTGGCTTTTTAAATTTGAGTACTTTCATTAATTTTGTCTGTGTAAATGCATGTGACATAACTTTTGGAATGGGTCTGGGTTTTTTAGCTCCATTAATATGTTTATAATAAACAGTTTAGCCGAGTTACACCCCGAAAGACAAAATTGTCCACATTGAAAGCACACTTTTACAGACTAAATTAATGCATTGTATTATATCACACGTTCAATATAGAGCCCTGGCTTCCAAATGTTACTTTTTTATTATTGGTTTTCTACACAAAACATTTAAATACATCAAAATCAATGTTGCTGCTTACCAATGACAAATCTAATCCAGACTGTAAAGAAAGAACATTTAGAAATAAATATTTAATTGTCATTTTTTCATAATATCAACAGTGGCATTATGTTAACTAAATAGAATTTTAAGGGTTAATAATTAAAAAATTAACACATCATCATGGACATCAGAGCAACGTTAGTGAGTGACGCAAAAGGTTTCATTTCTATATGCTAACTCTCCTCCTCTACCCTGGTGATCTGTTAAATCATCTTTTTAACTTTATCTTCTCTCCCAAATCCTAAACCTTTCTCTCACTGTTCTGTGAAACCTTCTCAGGTCATAGTGATGTCAGCCACCATGGATGTGGATTTGTTCTCTGAATACTTCAACAAGTCGCCTGTACTGTACCTGGAGGGCAGGCAGCATCCCATCCAGATCTACTACACCAAGCATCCGCAGTCCGACTACCTTCAGGCCGCACTCATCACCATCTTCCAGATCCATCAGGTAGTCTGCTAAATCTGTGTAGGGAGAACATTCCTGTATTAACAGTTTTGATTGGTTCGTGAAGTCCTATGCTGCATTTCCAATGCACAGTACGCTTCCCCTCCCTTGGAGCTAAAATGTTCCTATTTTTGATACCAAGTCAGTCCAGGTTCCACACAAGCCCAAACAAATCAATAAGCGTTTGCATTAAATACATAAACCTGTTTGTGAGCCCCTATCCTTGTTGATGTACTGTGATGATTCTTCTTGACACCTGAACACAACACGGCCCTGTTGTTTGCGTGCAGGAAGCTCCTCCGTCCCACGACATCTTGGTGTTCATGACGGGTCAGGAGGAGATCGAGGCGCTGGCTCGGACATGTCGTGACATCGCCAAGCATCTGCCCGATGGCTGCGGTCCCATGGTGGTCATCCCTCTGTACGCATCACTCCCCCCCGCACAGCAGCTCAGGTGCTTCCAGCCAGCTCCCAAGGTAAAGGCAACAGTGATGTAGACAAAGGGACATTTATAGAGAACACTCAACAAATGTATTGTATTAAATGTATTCCTCATCCATAATGAAGACCTCTCTACCGTTTCAGGGGTGCAGGAAGGTCATCCTCTCAACCAACATTGCCGAGACGTCAGTCACCATCTCTGGGATCAAGTTTGTCATAGACTCGGGGATGGTGAAGGCCAAACGCTTCAGTCCTGGTAAGAGGATACAGTTTGCTCCTTTCATGTTTTAGATGTTAACAGTTTTACTCTGCACTTTTCAGAGGGTTTCATTTTAAAACGTATGTAGTAAAGGTGGCAGTATTCGTGTGTAGTGTTTTTGTCGCTGTGATCTTATGAACATGTGTTGTGTGGATCAGACAGCGGGCTTGAGGTGCTGGCGGTGCAGCGGGTCTCTAAAGCTCAGGCGTGGCAGCGAGCGGGCCGGGCCGGCAGGGAGGAGTCCGGATCCTGCTACCGCCTCTACACCGAGAACGAGTTCGACAGCCTCATCCCCATGACTGTGCCCGAGATCCAGAGGTACCGTATGAAACAGGCCGTGGCCATATGAGCAGATTATCACTCAAAACAATAGATGTCTTTAGCTAAGTGTAAAGTTGCTTACCTTTTAGACTTACATACACACATAAAAGGTAGAAATAAGTATACAATAATGGTCAAATAAAATGACGCAATGTTTTTTCATTGTAGTGTTGTACGTAGCCCGTACTTGCCTAGTTATTGCAACAGAACCTCTAAAGTCTCTTTTTTATTTATGCTTTTTTCACAACATAATGTTAAAGAAATATTGTCTGCAGGGGAATTTCAATGTCGCCAACCATAGTAAAACACCTTTTGTCATATTGATAATAAGACCACAACGACAGGATTCTGTGTTTGTCCCACATACTGATTTTCTAAGGTCAGTGTGATTGAAAGTTGTTTGCGTTCCTGTGTGTGCTGCAGGTGTAACCTATCCAGTGTGATGCTGCAGCTCATGGCTCTGGGGGTTCCAGATGTGATGAATTTTGATTTCATGTCCAAGCCTTCTACAGGTAAGATGCTCTTGGTCAGGAGTCACTCTGCACCTCTGGGTTGTTCCCTGGTAGTAACATGTTGTGTTTATCCCAGAGGCCGTCCGCTCTGCTGTGAATCATCTGGAGCTGCTGGGAGCTGTAGAGAGGAAGGAGGGGCAGGTCTTCCTCACTGCTCTTGGAAAGAAGATGGCCAGCTTCCCTCTGGAGCCCCGATATTCCAAGGTAAAGAAGTGCTAGGAAATGTGGGAAAAAGTGAGTCACACGCGCAACCCAGATAGAATATGTTTTAACATTTCCTTTCCTTGGTTGCTCCGTCTCACAGACCATCCTGCTGTCTCCGGACTACTCCTGCTCTGATGAGATTCTGAGCATCGTATCTCTGCTGTCGGTGGACACTGTACTGTTTAACCCTCCTGCCAAGCGGGAAGAGGTGCTCGCTGCTCGCAAGAAGTTCTCCTCCAGCGAAGGAGACCACATAACGCTGCTCAACATCTACAGAGCCTTCAAGAAAGTCAGCGGTAATAAGGTGAGAACACATACATCAGTTAGGGAAGGAAAAGAATGTGACTAAGCAAACTCCAGAGATTAAATTGTGTTCCTGAGCGACCTTTATAATCTGTATGTCTTCTGTTAAAGGAGTGGTGTCGGGAGAACTTTGTCAACAGCAGGAACATGGGTCTGGTGAAAGACGTTCAGGCGCAACTCCGAGATATCTGCCTTAAGGTACGCAGCTGAGTATCCTACACATACATTCACGTATGCAGTATTAGTGTATGTGTGTAGGCCAGGGAAACATCACAATTCAATGTCACATTTATCTCACAAAATACGTTATAAGTAGGACTATACTGAATAGTTCAAAGCTACATTTATAACTTTGAATACTGCCATATGTATGCATGTCTAGTATTTGATCAGTATTTTTGGGGGCGGGGGAGAGTGCCTCTTTATTATGAAGAGACCGGGGTAGACAAATGAGATCACATTGCCTAAATACTAAACTCAACTTATACTATTATTAGTATAAATTATTTTATATTTGTGGAATTTATTCCAGTATCAACTGCTTATGATTGTTTCCAACCCATGCATTTGGTTTTCTATCTTTAAATATATGTTGAAAAAACTGAAAATAAACTATATTTTACATATTTTTTTCAAATACCAAAATAAGTCTAAAGATGGATGTGAATAACACTTCTATGGCTGCTATTATCACATTCTATCAGCGAGATGATTCAGTAAGTAGTGATTTTATTTAATAATTACAGCTGTGTAATAGACTTCTGCGTCCACAGCAGCCCATACAACCTTTTTAATAGCAATACTGTAACAAATAGAATTGAATAGAATTGGGAGGGATGAACCCCTCTTTAATGGTCACACATGCAGAGCACACAGCACACACAGTGAAATGTGTTCTCTGCATTTAACCCATCCTAGTACCAGGAGTCTAGTACTAGGAGAACTGCTGTACAGTGAATTAGCATTTTGAGCTAACATGTCCTGTTGTGCTTGTTGATTTGCCAGCTGAATATGAAGCTGGGGTCCTGTGGGTCAGAGATGGGAAACGTTCGCCGCTGCATCGCCCACGGCATGTTCGTCAATGCCGCAGAGCTGCAACCTGACGGCAGCTACTTGGCTCTGGACACCCACCAGCCCGTGTCCATCCACCCCTCCTCCGTCCTCTTCCAGGGCAAGCCGGCATACGTGGTGTTCAACGAGCTGCTGCACACGTCCCGCTGCTACATGAGGGACCTGTGTTTGGTGGATGCAGACTGGCTGCTGGAGGCGGCTCCAGAGTACTTTGGCCGCAAGCTCCACCCCAGCAAGAGCTAACCAGCTGAGAGACAGGACTGAAGTAAATCTCTATAAGGACACCTTCACTTTCCTCAGAACACCCAGTGACAACAAAACTGAAAAATGTGTTCCCTTTACAAAGACGAGTTTGGATTAAGACACTTATCGATTGCAATCACACCGAATATGTTCTGTGTAGTTAACTATCTCTGGATCTCACTACCTCCCAGTTGGCGACCTTCGTCACTGCAGCAGAAATCTGCAAACTGAGGCCTCACAGCAACTTTAACTTCTTGTAACACAGTAGATCAGATTGTATCAACAGTTTCTTCTGCCTGCTAGTATTACAGCTTGCTTTAGCCACCTGAAACAAGTCTTTTTGAGATGTCACGCATTCATTCTTCAAACATGTGCATGCATTTTAACAGCACAGGTAACATCACACGACACATCCTTCAATGTCTGATGTAATTGACTCGTTTTTCCTCCTTTAAAATGTTATCAGACTTGATAAAATACTACTCTCCATATAATTAGTTCGCAAAATGTTCTAGTTAATTGTTAAATCACCTGCTCAGCAAGACTCAGACAGCTAAAGGAGACTGACTGGTGGCTCTTTTCAGAATCATTTTGAATAATGATGAGTTAACTGTCTTTGAAATATTAGCTTTTCTGAAGCTATGCAAAGCAGTTTTGTCTTAAGCTCCCCCGCCATGTGGTTTTGGTTTTATACAAAGTGGTCTTAAGGGTTTATATATGCAAGGACGACTGGATTGTCTTTATCTAACGAGGTCTTTGAAATACAAGGAAATATGAAAATAGAATATGAGGTTTTTACATGTCACAGTGACATCACTTCTCTTTTATAACTACTCTTCATGCAGCACTTGTCTTGTAAGCTAGTGCATGCCTTTTTCCCCATCTATGACTTTATCACCTGTTTCTAAATACATGCAGATCAGGAGAAGTAGCATGCCTTATTCTCCATGTTCAACACCCACAACCTTCAGACGTATGCTAACACATGTATGCAATGCATGCAGATTGTAGTTAGCGACTTGATCCCTCAGGTCTCTCATACTTTGTCGAATGTTAATCACACCATGTTTAGGGTGGATGCCTACTTCTGTCTTTTTTTACACAAGACTCAGGATTGTACAATATATATACTGTAACCTGAATAAATTACACATGGTTTCTAACTGAAAGAATTCCAAACACCAAATGCATCTTGGGTAGGAGAATCATTAGACCATGTTACACAAGGTTGTGTTCAGAAGAAGTAGACTGTTGAAGATCTGCATGTCATGTTTTGTGTAAGATTTAAGTGCACGCCTTTTGATGAGTTTATTATATTTAATATTATATGATTTGTTCAAGTCTCACATACCACTATTGGTATAGTTTCTAATAAAAATCCGGTTTCACAGAACAAGCAGAATTCACTTCTTAATCCAGCCATTTTTATTTTGTTATGTAAAGCATTTTCAAAATATGCAAAATCAGATGATTCAGAATTAGAAATACATTATTGATCCCAGAGGGAAATTGGGTTAAGTTAAAATTGTTCTTATTCTAGAATAAACATTTAATTAAAAGGAAAAGTAAGATACAAATGGTAAATAAAATGTGCCATATACAACAAATTAATAAATATGTACAAAACTTAAATTGGTATACTACAATGCTTAACAGTAAATAATAATGCTAAAAATGGCATCTATAATTAGGAGTGGGGAAATGCAACTAAAGTATAAATAAAGAAAAATATACGTTTAAATGTACATTATAAATATATGTAGTATTGATGCCAGACAAAAACAACAAGATTGCTAAACATTATTGCATTATTTAACAAAATTATTTAGTTGAGATAAATTATACTTAAATGTGGCATATTGATGAATTAAACCAAGCATTGAGATGTGTTTTTATTTCTTTAGACTGTAGTATGATCTGATGACCTTGTTTTATTTGGCAAGGACAATCAAAGTTTGCTCTCCTGGGTTAGTTGTGGGCTGACAGCACCATCTTCTGGCAGCAGGGCTACATGTCTAACTGATGCAACTGATTCCCCTCATTACACCGAGACATCCTAAGAATGATGCATGCCCTCCCTCCTGGATGTACATGTCCACTGTAAAAGAGCAGTTTTCTGATTTTATGAGACAGCCTGCCCTTTTTGTGACAATGCTCATATGTATGCTAATACTTACAATACGTTTAGGAATAGTATAGATGTCTACTTAGTGTTCAAAGTGGACTCGGGTTGGTTTAAAATATAGTGTTACCCAAATAAGTAACACATTATTTCTAAATAAAACACCAAATGCATCTGGGGTAGAAAATCAGACCATGTTACAATCAGGTTTGGTTTTCGGCGTTTCTGTGTTATGAAGTTTGCAAGATTTCAATGCATGCCTTTTGATGAGTTAATTATAGGTGTATTTAATATGATTTGATTATGTCTTACGTAACACCTATTGGTATAATTTATAATACAAATCACAAGTCTACAGGAGAGTGAAGCTTTGAAGGCACAGGAAGATTTTCCAGGGCTTGACGCACTTACTGTCCTATATTTTTCAGGACCTAAAAACATTTTTAAGCAAGTGTGTTGATGTTATAAAAAGCATAGAAGACTACTAATCCCAGCCATTTGTATTCACATAATTTAAATAAATAGGTTAACATATTTCCAAATTGAATTAAAAATATGTTTTATTGATTCTCGGGGTGAATAAGGTTAATTTGTAGCTGCTCATATTCAAGTAAAAAGAGATATAAACATAAAAAAATAAGAAATTAGTATGTGAAAATATATGCATTATACTAAAACATGTATGTACAAATGGGGACAACATATGTATGCTGCAATACAAAACAGTGAAAATAATGCTTCAAGTGCTAAGATATTTGACATATAATTACTTTAAATGCATATTTTGCCAAAATTATACATTACTGCACACGAATAAAAAAGATGTTCAATACATTTAGATTGTTTTAAACAGAAATCACTTATTTCTCACTCCACAGGGGGCGTTGTAGGAAGGACAGTGACATACATGTAGCATTATCTATAACGTTACAAATATATATATTATTAACACTATTGTTACTTTATTATACAACTCATTTATAAAATAATGGTCGTATTTAAGATTTTCTGAAGAAACAGAGATTATTTAGTTTTATTTATTTCGGTTTCAAAGTACTATTTCCGGTTTAAAGGTCATAGTGACGAAAGGTCAATGTGTCCTTCCACACGTGTGTTTTATAATCTTGAAGCAGGCAGCAGTAACGGGGAGTAAGCCGGTAGCTGTGAGCTGTCAAACCTATTTATCTGCACTAAAAGCCTTCACATTTCTACACAGTCATGCTAAAGTCAGTTGTCCGTGCGGTGGGAGCCGCTGTCCGCCTCTCTTCAGTCGCCACTTCCACAGCCCGAACCCTGCCTCTCAGCTGCCCGACACTGTGCTCTCCAAGCTCGGCCACAACTCGGCACTTCACCCGGTCTCTCTGGATGCTGAACAACAACGGAGCGTCGTCAGGATACAGGCCAAAACTCTTCAGTTCAAAGGCGTTGAATCCCTCGATATCATGTGGATGTGGAAGCCTGCACACAGAAGGTACGTTTGGATGTGAAAGTTATTAAATGATCAAGCTAGCTTGCTTCGTATATCAGTCAATATTAACCTAGGTTAAATGGCGAGAGAATAATACGATTAACTGTGTAGATAAGACCTCATGTCAACATTTCTACTCAGAAATTAAGTAATTTATGCAATTTTCTCATTAAATGAAGTCTGTATCATCCCACTGTTAGCTAGCAATCACCTTGAAAGATGTGTTCAGTTGTCCTCACAGAATGTAGTTAAAACGATAACTTGCAAACAAATAATAACTGTGGTTCACAAAGTCATGTCTTTGTGTGGTTTGTGTCGACATGTGTATTTGTAAATATGTTAATTATTACATATATAATTATATATATATATATATATATATATATATATATATATATATATATATATATATATATATATATATATATATATATGCAATAGCTCACGACAGGCCGTGGTATATGCTCATTATATCACAGCTAAGGGGCGTGGTTAAACCGAATATATATTTTTTCAATCGCTGAAATATAGATTGAGCATTTTAGCATGGTGTGTACTGCACACTGGTAACGACCTATAATGAAAAACTTTAAAGACATAAGCTAACAGGACTTGCAATGAATAGTTCAATCAAAGTTTTAAGAAGGGAACAGCTACTCTTACATAAACATGAGTATAAAGCATTGTTGTAGGTTACTTTAAAGATATTCTGTAAGCAGTTAGACTTAGAATCCATTAACCTACAGGAAACATAATGAAGTTGCGAAGATTGGATTTTCCAAAAATAAAAAACCCTAATGATTGTATAACTTTTTCAACAGGTGACAAAGCGTTTGGTGCTTTCCTGTCTGATGAAATCAAAGAGGAGCTGAAGATCCAGAAAAACAACAACCTTCCTAAGATGTCTGGAGGATGGGAGCTGGCTCTGAATGGCACAGAAGCTAAACTCTCAAGGAATGTTGCCGGAGAGAAGTAAGTTTTGTGCAGTCTGTGGCCGTTTCTCAATCGCGAGGATGCTGGCTTGGTAGCACAGCCGAGCCGAGCATCTTGCTTCAGAAGCAAGGCAAGAATACTTCCTGGCATTCGGAAAACAAAGAGTGGAACAGGCTAGCAAGTGTGCGTCAGAGGCCCCGCCTTACATCTGCCGCCACAGATTTGGGGAAATTGGTCCATGCGCAAAGCATTGTGGGGATTTTAAGGACGCGAAGTCTACCCATGTGCAGCCTCGAAATTTCCCCCAAACCAAGGACGCGGCCTCGGTGGAATTCCAAGTATGCTGGAGATTGGAACAGTCCTTCGGCGGCACTCGATGACGTAGCATCCTTGAAATATTGGTTTGGAAGCCAATATCCTCGCGATTGAGAAACGGCCTGTGATTTATACAAACCTTACTATTAATACGTGGGCACACTAACAAGCTCATAATCTGTCCCTTTTTTTACAGAATCACTGTCACATTCAACGTCAATAACAGCATTCCTCCTAACTTTGAGGAAGAGGCAGAGCAGGGACAGCAGAAATCCGCAGAGGAAGAGGAAGAGGTGAGTTACAGATAATCTGTATTACGTGTGAGATGTCATTGCACTGGATAGTTTTCTTTTAATCACAAATGGACTGAAGAAAGCCTTTAACTTCATAACATGATTGTAATTATTTTTATTTCTTTACAGCCAGAAATTGTATCATCTCCCAACTTTGTTGTCGATGTAACGAAACAGGGTGCAAAACATTCCCTGGTGTTTGACTGCCATTTCCCTGAAGATGAGGTAAGCAAAGCCTGCATTCGTTTACACAGAACAGTGATGCATCCTTCAATCAGTCTTATATAATCCAATAATTGTCAGACTTTTAATGGTGCATCTTAGACATTACAATGTAATATTTACATCGTGTCTTTGACCTTTCACTCAGAGACTTTGAGTGTAACAGAACATCTGGATTTGCGTTTTTGTAGGTGAGTCATGGTGAAGGAGAAGAGGAGAGCGACATCTTTGCCATTCGTGAGGTCAGTTTCCAGCCTGACGGAGACACAGACTGGAAGGAGAACAGCTACACACTCAACACAGACGCTCTGGACTGGGTAAGATCTAAGGAAAGAGATTAATAACCTATACAACATAAAAATCATGTTAATAAAGCAGATGATAGCTGTGATTAACACTAGAACATTTTAACCTCTTTACTTTTGTTTTTTTCAGGCTCTGTATGACCACCTGATGGACTTCCTGGCTGACCGCGGGGTGGACAACACCTTCGCTGATGAGTTGATGGAGCTGAGCACGGCCGTCGAGCATAAAGAGTACATCAAGTTCCTGGAAAACCTCCATGGCTTTGTCAAATGTAATTAATGTTGGGTACAAGTTAAATTTCACTATTCTTCAAAACACATCCTGGCAAAGTTGAAGGTTTGATAATATAATACAACTAAATCAAATGCTGCAGCGCTGATTGACACCTTTGGAAATCTAAAGAGACTCAGTGTCTGGCAGTCAGCCTTCTTGCCAGCAGTTGTCACATCAGTACATTGCTGCAAAAATGTTCTTTTCCTTTTTGTTCTTTCTTTTTTATTTGACTATTTTTCTGTAACTTAAATGAGAGTTTAAATTAAATATATGAAGGTCATAAATAAGGCAGGTCACGACTCTGCAGATACCCCTTTTTATTAGAAATGTCCCTCAATTGTAGAGTTCCTGTCTTAACTGCACCGGTTTCATATGGTCCAGTCAGTAATTGTGTCCAACTGTCCTTAAGCTAATAAAGGGATCATTTGACAAGATGTGTACTCTGTTTGCAAAATAATCCTCACTTATCTTTTGCTTTTACAGTTC